CTCCCCTGTTAACCAGGACTGCTGATAGATGATGGCAAGTGGCTTGGTAAGCTCCTCTGCCAGCTCCCTCAGTATTCTTGGGTGGATCCCATCTGGCCCCATAGACTTGTGAGCATCCAGGTGGCATAGCAGGCCATTAACTGCTTCCTCCTGGATTATGGGGGCTTCATTCTGCTCCCCATCCCTGTCTTCCAGCTCAGGAAGCTGAATACCCTGGGGATAACTGGTCTGGCTATTAAAGACTGAGGCAAAGAAGGCATTAAATACCTCAGCCTTTTCCTCATCCGTGGTGGCAATGTTCCCCCTGCATCCTATAAAGGATAGAAATTCTCCTTGGCTCTCTTTTTGTTGTTAATGTATTTGTAGAAATATTTGTTATTGTCTCTTACAACAGTGGCCAGATTGAGTTCTAGCTGGGCTTTTGCCTTTCTAATTTCCTCTCTGCATGACCTAATGAGATCCCTGTACTCTTATTGAGTTGCCTGTCCCTTCTTCCAAAGGTGGTAAACTTGCCTTTTTTTCTTGAGACCCAGCAGAAGCTCCCTCTTCAGCCAGGCTGGTTGTCTTCCCCACCGGTTTGTCTTATGGCACACGGGCACAGCCTGCTCCTGCACCTTTAAGACTTCCTTCTTGAAAAAAGCCCAGCCTTCCTGGACCCCTCTGCCCATCAGGACTGTCTCCCAAGGGACTTTCCCAACCAGTGTCCTGAACAGGCCACAGTCTGCCCTCTGGAAGTCCATGGTAGTGGTTTTGCTGTCCCCCTCCTTACTTTGCCAAGAATTGAAAACTCTATCGTATCATGGTCACTAAGCCCAAGACGGCCTCTAACCACAACATCTCCCATGAGTCCTTCTCTGTTTGTAAACAGCAGGTCAAGGAGAAGCACCTCCCCTGGTAGGCACACTTACCAGCTGTGTCAGGAAGTTATCTTCCACACACTCCAGGAACCTCCTAGACTGTTTCCTCTCTGCTGTGTTGTATTTCCAGCAGATGTCTGGCAAGTTGAAGTCAACCACAAGGGCAAGTCGAAGTCCCCCACGAGAACAAGGGCTAGCGATTGTGAGACTTCTGCCAGCTGCTTATAGAATGCTTTATCTGTCTCTTCATCCTGGTTAGGTGGTCTATAACAGGCTCCCAGCAGGATGTCTGCCTTGTTGACCTTCCCTCTCATCCTTACCCATAAGCACTCAACCTTATCATCACAACTGTTGAGCTCTGTACAATCAAAACACTCCCTAACTTACAGAGCCACCCCACCACCTCTCCTTCCATCATCTTCCATCAGTCATCTAAAGTCTTTGATTTTTATAGCCTTTGCTTCTCTTCAGGAACTTAGCTAGCCTTTACATTTTGAGGAAGTTTTTTACTTTAGCAGCAAACATTTTTTGGTTTATAATGATCTTACTTATTTGAGAAGTATCTAAGTTCTGCTGGGGTTGCAGTAAGTATTAAAGTCCTGCTTGGAAGGAAAACAACTCGCTAACTCTGTTGGGCTTTAGGATAAGAGACGATGTCTGACAAAGTGACTGGAGGGATTGTCGCTGGCTGTAGGCGCTCAAGGGGAGAGGATTGTGTGAGGGTTTCCTTTCCTTTGCTGTCACCGTCAGGTTACTGTGATAACATCTCTTCTGTTGCAGATGGATGTACTCCGCTTATGTTGGCATCTCTCCGTGTGGGCAGCTCCGATATTAGTGAGGATGATGAGGATGCGGAAGATTCCTCAGCAAATATAATAACAGATTTGATCTATCAAGGCGCCAACCTGCAGGCCCAAACAGACCGTACTGGGGAGATGGCACTGCACTTAGCAGCCCGTTATTCAAGAGCAGATGCTGCGAAACGTTTGCTGGATGCTGGTGCGGATGCTAATGCACGGGACAACATGGGACGGACTCCCCTGCATGCAGCTGTAGCTGCTGATGCCCAGGGTGTCTTCCAGGTACAGCAGTTGAAGAACACCTTTTAGAGTAGCTGTGCTCTGTAATTCTGTGAGCCTGCCCAAGCTGTGCTCTGTTCACTCACAGCCTTGCTCTCATGCCTTCCACAGTGCGATGGCCAGGCGAAACTGTATTTTACATCCAGTTTCCTCAGGTATTCATAGCTTGAAGAATTCAGCATGCATGAATCATCTGGCATGTATTTATTTGGTCTGTTTGCCTCTGTCACCTATTATCTCAGTTCTTGCATTTCAGTGCTCAGGCTGCTTTTTCATTATGAAGTTTCTCTTGAGTTTCTGGCAAATCCTGTTTTGCTCTGTAGTGGTATTGAAAAAAATATGTCTTCCCCTGTTGTCCAGATCCTGATCCGTAACAGAGTGACAGACTTGGATGCACGGATGAATGATGGAACGACGCCATTAATTCTGGCCGCACGGCTGGCTGTGGAAGGAATGGTGGCTGAGCTAATTAATTGCCAGGCAGATGTGAACGCCGTAGATGACCACGGTAATGTGAACACGATGTACTGAGCTGGACAAACATTTGTCATGGAGTGAGCAAGGAGGGGTGGGCTTCTGCTCTACTGGAGTGTGGGCTGCTCATAAATTCTGTAGCTAAATCAGACACTAGGCTCTCCTGCAGAAGTCCTCCCAGCAGTAATAAACTGCAGGCTGCTGCACAGTGGCTTGGTTAGACAATCCTGGAAGAGAAGCAGAAGAAATACGGGGTTGGATGCGGTAGGATTTCTGGACTGCAGACATGACTCTGTGGATAGGTTGTTTAAAAAATTAAAATAAAAAAAATCCCAGAGCAAGTGCTGAAAGTCCCATTGCAATTTTGTAACATAGGGGTATGTCATAGCGTGGTGATTTCCAAAGTGTAAATGTGACTTCAGGATATGCTCACATGCTGTGAGCTGCACTGCAGTTGCTTTCTTCCCTCAGTGTACTCTGTCCATCTTGGTGCTTTAGAGAATAGCTCCTCTGTTTGTTACTGAAGTTGTTGGGTATCCCTGCAGGTAAATCTGCTCTTCACTGGGCTGCTGCTGTCAACAACGTGGAAGCAACACTAGTGCTGCTGAAAAATGGAGCCAATAGAGACATGCAGGATAACAAGGTACCGTTTGGTTGTGCTCAGCATGCCTGTCCTTCCTAACACAAAGCATCTCTTAGCTGTTTGAAGTGAGCTAAGTTCAAATTTTCTAAACTGGGTGCTCAGTGCACCAGTCTTCCAAACCCAGACTATGACTGGAACTCTCCCCAAGTACTGGATGTCCTGTAGGATTTCTGATGCGGAAGATCAGTTCTCTTCCTTGTGTGGCCAAGTCCTGGGCATCAATGCTGTCCTGCTTTTCTTGCAGAAAAGGAATGCAATACATAGTCAGTGGTGTGTGAGAGCACCAGGGTGAAGTGCTGCTGGTGTCAAGCAGCTGGATTCTGGTTAGCAGAGAACCAGATCTGGCAGCACAGCAGCGGTCACATTTCCAGGGATCTCAATGCAGGGTGGATATGGGGAAGAAGCCCCTCTGTTTGAGAGACAGTCTGCACTGTGCAGACCTCCTGTAGCTTCACTGTTAGTTTTTGCTCTTAGTCCTTGATTTCTTTCCTCTGCCTAGGGTTTCTTTTTTGGATTATTATGTATTGCTTGGTGGATTTTAGAGCTACCAACAAGCTGCAGTTCTTCACTGGCCTGTTTTAGTCCGTTGTACCTTTCCCTCATAGGCAACAATGGGAGAAAGGCACCAGATGCCTTCACAGTTTCTCCAAGGACCCATGGCAGAATAGTGCACTTCCTGGTGGGATAGTTTAGCCTGTGTGCTCCACTGCTGTGTATGAAATAATGTCCTGTAATCCGCCCTTCTCAGTGGGCACCTCTGAGGGTGGGTTGTTCTTGGAGGCAATTAATGCACCACTGCATTAAACAGTGCTTCCAGGTGTTGCCGCACCATTAAGGCAGTGTTAGCTGTAAGTCAGTCCCTCCACAATGAAGCTGCTAAAATACTTATTCTCTGTGTTTTCAGGAAGAGACACCACTCTTCCTTGCCGCTCGGGAAGGCAGTTTTGAAGCAGCAAAAATCTTGCTGGACCATTTTGCCAATCGAGACATCACGGACCACATGGACCGCCTGCCCCGAGATGTGGCCCAGGACCGGATGCACCACGACATAGTGCAGCTTCTCAATGAGTACAATGTAGCGCACAGCCCCGCTGGGCATCCTGGCGCCATGCTGAACTCTGCCCTCTCCCCGGTCATCTGTGGCCCGAATAGGTCCTTCCTCAATCTGAAGCACGCTTCGTTAAGCAAGAAGTCACGAAAACCGAATGCCAAAGGCATCATGTCCACAAACCTCACCAAAGATGCAAAGAGGAGAAGGAAGAAGTCCCTCAGTGAGAGCAAAGGGCAGTTTTCGGAGAGCTCAGTGACCCTGTCACCAGTTGATTCCCTAGAATCGCCCCATGCTTTTGCATCTGAACCGACATCATCCCCTGTGATGCCATCGCCAGGGGTGTTACACTCGTCGCCCAGCTCACTGCTGACTGCTCCATCAGTGCAGGCTGCGCACACGATGTCCTTCTCCAACCTCCATGAGATGCAGCCCTTAGGACGTGGATCCAGCACCGTGCTCCCGTCCGTCAGCCAGCTGCTTTCACAGCACAGAACCACCCCTCCTAACAGTGGGCTTGGCAGGCTCCGGCCAGCCAACGTTTCCACCGAGTGGATGAACCGTATGGAGGTGAACGAGTCCCAGTACAACGAGATGTTTGGCATGGTGCCACAGGTGATGCATTCACACCCCAGTGTTTCTCAGCAGAGCGGTTTGGTTCAAGCAGATACAAAGCACATGGGAGTGTCCAGAGAGTCTCTGCCCCCTATCATGACTTTCCAGCTGGTTCCCAAGGGTGGCATAAACCAGCAAGCACTGCCGCAGCAGGCCCAGTCAAACTGCGCTCAGAACATGGCTGGTCCTCTTAGCTCCATGTACCAGATTCCGGATTTAACTCAGCTGCCCAGCGCCTCGTTCTCCATGGCTGCCATCCCTCAGCAGGACGGGCAGGTGGCTCAGACGGTCCTCCCAGCCTACCACCAGTTCCAGAGCTCGATGGGGAAGTACCCCACACCTCCGTCACAGCACAGCTGCTACTCCTCGGCCACAGAACGGACTCCTAGCCACAACCGGCACTTACAAGGGGAGCACCCATACCTGACTCCGTCACCTGAATCTCCAGATCAGTGGTCAAGCTCCTCCCCACACTCTGCCTCTGACTGGTCTGATGTGGCAACCAGTCCCAGTAACAACCAACGCGGGCCAGCGGCCGCTCACATGACAGAGCAGCAGCGGAGCAACATGCAGGTGTATGCCTGAAGGCTGGCCAAGGTGAAGCCCAATTAAAGTGGACTCCAGAACTCATGAAGGTCTTCCAGGATAGAAATGAAGAACCATTTTAGTATCCAAGAGTCTTAATGAGCCCAGGCTGTTCTTTCCTTGGAGGGACTGTGGTCGCTGTAGGCTTGTATGCTTTTATGCTAAACACAGAACTGTAGAAGCTGGTGATGGAGAAGACCAGCTGGGTCACTTCTAACCAACTCCCGTGCACCTTGGGTGTGATTGCTGTCTGCACTGGATTCTCCAGTCTGCTTTTAATTATGTTCCACCATTTCTTTGGGGAGACAGCTCTTCAGCTTAATGCATCTCATGGTCATTTCTCCAGAAATTTAGCCAAAACCAGCTTTGTATCCTTATTTTGTTACTCCTTTTGTTACCCACGTAACCTCTTTCTGAAGCACCTTCTGCTAGTTCTCCTCGAGTTCAAGTTGCCTTGTCTTGACACAGCTCAGAGCTTCACCCACATTCCTAGATCCCTCCTTCCCACGGCTGCTCTTGCTCAGCAAGTGAGCCGGACTTCCCAAAACACCTGCAGGTCAAGTGACGCCTTCTGTCACAAAGCTTCACCCCTTCCTCTTCAAGAGCCTTTGTCTTCTACAAACCCACTAACACCCCTTAGCGCTCTCACTGCCTGCCCCCCAGGTATTATGAGATTATATATACATAGAGTCTTCTATTTGGTCTTTGCACCCCCCTCCCCAAAAACGCTGGTCTGACCTGGTCTTCCCCCTGCGGTGGCCTGTAGGCACATCTCTCCTGTGCTGTATGTCTTCCCTGAGACCATTTTGACACACTACCCTCCCGTTCCCCCACCCTGCCAGGTGTGTCCATGACCACCTTCACGGGCTTCCGTGCCAGAAGAGATGCCCTGCAACCGATACAGGCCTTTTGGGAAACTCTTGGGATGAGCGTGAGTGTTTCAAAACCTGTTAACACAAGCTCCCAGCGTTCTTGCACAGTACTGCCCTCCCCTCCATCCAAGGGTGGCTGTGTGTCCTGTCCTCCAGATACCATATGCTGCCTCTTTATGGTGTTATCAAGAAGTGTCGAGGATGTCGTTACATGTTTGCAGTGTGTGTCCTCCTGCATCAGGAATGGCATCCAGCCCTTTGAAAGTGCCGCTTTTGCTCCAGCCCTGGGGCAGGGCTGCCTTGCCTTCCCCTCCCAACAAGGAGGCTGCAGCACTGACTCCCCAGCAGGCTTCCAGCAACAGCAGCATGCCTGCAGCCCGGAGCTGGGTTTAAGCGGCAAACCAAATAGCTCAGAAACCGTTGTCTAATGCAGTTTGGTTAACAGGTTTGGGGCTGTCCTCTGCTCTCAGCTTCAGCCTGTATCGAGATTTCCCAACCGAGGTGCCCCACATGCTCTGTGGGACGGTAGTGCCATTCGTACTGCAGCTCTCCTGATATTTTTGGAGTTACGGAAGCCAGCTGTTGCTGACCTTAGACAAACAGACGCTCCTTCTGCTTTGTCCGCAAGAGTAACGCTTCCCTGAAGGGCTCTGAACCGGTCGGCAGCTGAAGTGAACGTTCCTAGGGATGGTTTGCTCCTACCTCTTCAGGGGAACCCTGCAGACACGCCTTCCAAAGAGATCGGGGCTGTGGGCTGCCGCCAAAGGACAGAGAAGGCCGCTCCCCTCTGAGCAGCGGCCATTCAGCATCCTACCATGTACAGTATTTTCTCTGATGTTTCTTTCCATTCTAATCAAGAGTAAAAGCTTTTTCTTTCAATTCGACTCAATGGTACATGAAGGCAGGGCCTCAGGAGGAGCTGGTTCCCGGGGCCGTCGTTTTGGGCTGAAGTTTTTAATTCTGAAGTTACTGCTTTTTACGACGCACACAGCGTTCCCCGGCACGCTCACCGCAGTGTGCCCTGTGAAGTTTAGCTGCAGCTGACTCAGATCTCCGGCAGGAGCCCACAAGCTCCTGGAGGTCTGTCCAGGTACATGTTTCACTGCAAATAATGAAGTGTTGCTACATCAATGCTAAAGAAACAAAGGGCTTTTCCTCATTAGCCCCAAATAACCAAGTGCCTTTTTATATATGTGGCTACCTTTTACAAGATGAGTGCTTTCTGTGGAATGAAGCCAGTTTCATGCCTGGTGTGTTAATACGATGGCCCTCTGCCTTTCTTTTTTTTTTTAACTACTTGTAAAGATAATATCTCCTTAAGGTGGTATTTTATCTCGTAAGTTGTAGAGTAACCATTCACACAGCAGCATTTTCCTATATTAATAATGGAAAATATTTGCTTATTTTTACATTTTTATAAAAGTCTTTTATGAAAATAGTTGCTTGAAAATGTATAAGCAATTTTTATCCCCAGAATAAAAAGAGTATGTGCCCGGTGTCTGTGTGCTGCTGGTTTTTTTTGTCTTCCCAGCTATTGCGGCACAGCCACTGGATTGTAAAGACAGGATTGTGAACAAATCATCGGTGTTTGACAGCTGTTCAGACCCCTGGCAAGGGAGGGCTTGTTAGGACCTCTGCAGTCCTCATCAGGAGAGAGCTTTTGGGGAGCAAGGGTGCCCAGCAGTGCATGAACCCCACCGCTTAGCTCCATCCAAGGGAGTTGTGCCTGGGAGCTGAAAGCAGCCTAGTTCGGGTGTGTAGCAGGAGGACTCTGGTTACCTGAGAAGGGGGCAGTAACCAGCAGCCAAGCAGCTGGGCGTAGTGGGAAGGACGGGGAGGGACTGGGATGGGGACTTTTTGAGATGCTTTCAGTAACAGCTCTCTCTTGCCTGGGAGCTGGGGAAGGGCTGGGGCTTTTGTGTGGCTTTTAGGAAGGTTGTGGGCAAGCGTGCATCAGGCGGTGGTTCGTGGAGCCGTGGATTCACTCACCCTTTCAGGTCCTGCTTGTTTCCCTGGGCTGTTTCTGTTCCTGCAGCCAGGAGGAGGACCCTCATCCCTGGAGCTGAGGCTGCCTCCCTGGCTTTGGCTTGGCAGCTGATGCATGAAGATGTGCAATTCTCCAGCCTCTGAAACAGGGAATCACGGCTCCTCCGTGCTGTTTTCAGACTTGAAAAGTCTGACTTGAACAATTAGAGAATAAATTGACAATGGCTGTGTTCCTGTATTTTGAGCAGGGAGGTGCCACCGAAACCTTGGGCTCAGCCGGCGCTCGCCCGGCCAGTTTCCAGCTCTCACTGCAGACTTGGATGGAGCTGGTAGCTGAATTACGCCACCTTGCAGGGATAAAGCTGCTAGGGGCATTTTAAGGGTTTAATATGCAAACAGTGCAGCTCCCTTATCTTCTAGTAGAGCCAGCTCGGCAAGTACAAACCTCTGGGAGGCTTTCATCCGTGTTCTCCCACAGGTTGCACATCTGTGACAAAGTTTAGCGAGCTCTGCTGTGTGTCTGGCTCAGCTGCGTCAAGTTTGCTGGTGCTCAGGCTGAGACTTGAAACTGCGTCTCCTTGTGATGGTGCATGCCTCTTCCCCTGCCCGGGATGATGAGGGGCTTGTGAAGACTTGTGTTGCATCCAATTAAGCTTAATTGAACCAGCCAGGGAGCTGGTGTAACCCTAATCTAACTGAGGAATAGTGGAGTAGCCTCAGGCTGCTTTGGGGAACGTTTTCACGGTTTTTCATAAAACAAGGGTGGAGTCCTGTCTTCTGCGGGTGGCGGGGGGGGGGTTGCTGTGTTTGGAGAGTTTCCCTATCAGAGCAGCTGATCTCTGTAAGATTGGTCCATTCAGGAGAAATGATAGCAGGCAGCAGCTGTGTTTGGACACAAGGCTTTACCCCTTTGATCCGGGAGGGTGCCTAGCCAAGCTGGCCGCGCCTTGAGAGGGCTCGGGCCGGAGCAGGACA